AGAATGTATGTATAGGAAAAACATGAGGATATTTTTGGTTCAGTAGTATCCAGTTTCAGGATTCTATTGTTAGTCTTGGAAGACATCCATTGCAGATAAGTGGTGTGTTAGACTACATTGACCAAAATATCTGACATAGGAAACATAAGGAGTAAAAGAATTATTTTGGCTCATAGCTTTGAAATATCAGTCTATGGTAGATTGGTTCCATATTTACCATAGACCTATGATAAGGCAGTACATTGTAACACTAGATGTGTGTGGCAGAAGCTGCTACCTCATGGCAGCCAGGAAACACAGAGAAAAATAGGAAGAAGCTATCCAAACTATAGCTCCCAAGAACATACTCTCAATGACCTAACTGGAGGCAGTTAGAAACCAACTCCTAAAGTAATCATTTTCTCCCAAAATGTCACTCACATCTGGGAAATAAGTCTTCAACATGATCCTGTGGAAGGGTTCATATTTAAGTATCCACATTCTGATCCTGGCCCCCAAAGACTTGTGACCATCTCATAAGGCCAAATGCATTAATCTATCACCAAGGGTACTCAAAGTCTTAACAGATAAAATATTGTTCAAACGTCTAAATCCAAAGTCTCTTCTGAGACTTGGGAAATCTCTTAGCTGTAAGTCCTTGCAAAATAAAAAACAAGTTACATACTTCCAGGATATAATGGAACAGAATACACATTCCCATTCCAGAAGGGAGGAATGGATAGAGAGAAAAGAATGATCAGACCAAAACAAGATTGAAGTCCAGCAGATAAAACATTAAATACTATAGCAAAATGTACAGAAGCTGGGGAATATGATGGCATGATGTGAGATCCAAAGGACTTGGGAATCTCAAGCCCTTGCTGATTTCAGTCTACATGACCTCTCTCATAGAGCCACTCTGCTTCTTGCCTGTGACTTTCCTCAGTAGACCTGCCATGTTCTAAGCATCTCTGACTTCTGGGGATCTGTCACTGCATCTTCTACTACACATTTACAGCTTCACACATCACTTTTCTCAGGGTTCCCCACAGGGATTCCAACCCTACTACACATTGCCTGGCCTCCTAGCATTTCCTTTGAAATCTGGGTGGAAGCCTCCATGATCTGTAACTCTTGCATTCTACATGCCTGAAAAACCAACACCAACTCATGGAGAACATCAAGGTCTGCCACCAGCTCAAGATGTAGCCAAGCCCCATTGGACTATAGCTGTAGTGGCTTCTGAGTGCTTGGGCAGCTGAATATGGGATGCCTGGACATGGCAGTGTTCTATTCTCATGGGAAAGTCTTTCATATGTGTTCCTACTATTACATACTTGAGATATCAGTGGGGTCTGTCCAATTCCTGAGATGCCTTCATGGCATCTTTCCTATTGTTCCAGTGCAAAGTATGTGGACTCTTTTTAGTGGTGCCAGTCTTTCAGGAGCTGCAGTCTCCTTGACTCAAATGTTACGTACACTTATGTTCTGGTCAAACTGCAAGTTTTTCAAGCCTTTCCACTCTGAATTTTCTTCACCATACTCCCTGTGAACTTGGCTAAAAGCAGCTAGCAGTAACCATGCTACAGGATGAATGATGGGCTGCTGTGTGATTTCACCACCAGATTTATCAGCCCACAAGCTTTAAATTAAGTCTTCCACAAAGTTTCACAGCATGGAAAACAGGGAGGCAACGAATGGCCTCTTGTCTAATTCCCAAAAGAATCCTTGTTCCCATCTGAAACCTCATGAAAACTGTCTTTACTGTCTGCATCCCTATCAGAATTCATTATTCTGAGATCTCACCAGAATCACCCATCAAGTGATGCTTAAAGAAGTCTGTGCTTTCTCTGGTCTGCTTCTCTGAACTTTTATAAATTCCTCCTACAGACTAGTTTCTAAATATTTTATTTATTATATTATCGTACTGGGGGTACACTGTGACATTTACAAAAATTCTTACAGTGTATCATAGTTGAAATCACCCCCTCCATCTTTCTCCTTTATCCCCCCTCCCCTCATTTCTGGAATAGTTTCAACATGTCTCATTTTTCCATTTTTACACATGAGTTTGTGCCTGCCTAGCAACTGTGAGGCCCCCAAGTACAATCCCCAGTATTGCCAAACTTTTTTTTCTTTTGCAAGTAAAGCAGGAGAGTTTATTGAGATAGAAAAGTGTAAAGTAGGAGGACTGAGCCCGCAGAGCTGGGAGGTGTCCCTACAGAGGGTGCCCCTTAAAGTCTTAAAAACCACCTGTTCGGGTTTAGTCACAATGACTCCACTTATCTGGTACCAATTTTCTGTCTTACCCAGATTTTGTATTGTTGTGACCATAATACCTGGCATAAACAACTTAAGGGAGGAAGGATTTATTTCAGATCATGGTTTCAGAGGTTTCAGTCTATTGTAGGTAGTCTGGTTCCATATTTCTGAGCCTGTAGTGAGGCAGTACATCATGGTGCTGGTAGCATGTGGCAGAGGCTGCTACAGGAAGAGGAGAGAGAGAGAGAGAGAGAGAGAGAGAGAGAGGGAGAGGAAGAGGGAGAGGGAGAGAAGGGGCCAAAGAAACTATAGCCCCCAAGAACATAGCCTCAGTGATCTACCTCCTCCAACTAGGCCTAGACTCCTAAAGTATCCACCACATTCCAAAATGGTGCCCCTATCTAAGGACTAAGCCTAACTTAATCCACATGAGCCTGTGGAGACATTTCACATTAAAACCATAAGAAGGAAGAACTTCTGTATTTCCTACATGCTTGACACTGAGCTGGAGTCCACATATATTATCTCATGCAAGGCTTGGAGTAACCTTAAGAGTCAATGAGGCCAAAGAAGAGGCTCCCATACTGTTTGGTGGTGGGGAAGAGCAGCAAGTGGAGGCTCAAGTACAGTGATTGAGTGGGGAGGGGACAGGATCAAGTTGGGCTTCTGAATTTTGGGCAAGGTTAATGTGCATAAGGCTTTGTTCTCATGAGCTGAAGAAAATAATTGTATGACTTTTACAACACCAATGGGTTTAATCCTAAGATTATTATTCACTAGGGTCATGGTTGTATCACCAGTTGTCAGTGAGAGTCAGTCAGAGAGAGGATCCTGAGAGGAAGGGGTCCTAAACGTGTGCCCCTAGTTCTTGTCACTGACACAGAAAACTTCAGGCCAAGACTTGAGCAGTTTTATTCAGAAAGTGAAAAAGAAAGCAAAGACACATTTCATAGGCAAAGCGTGAGCATTAAGAAGAATGCAATGAGTCTTCTAACCGGGATATATATATATATCCCTGTTATATATATATTAGAATAAAATTCATTAGGAGGCTCACATTCCTTGTTGTGAGCACCTGTTACACTTGATCCTTCTTGTTAAAAATGTTTAGAGATGTTATCATTCTGGTCCAGAGACATTAAATCTTTGTTTTACTAAATCTGGGTCATTGCAACACAGATGTCTGATGTTTCTTTTGCAAACATTTCTAAGATCAAAGGAGTCATTTTTTCAAAGGTTTCTCAAACAACAAATGATTTTCTTTAAGATATGCTTGCCTGGCTCTTAGAGCATGTTAAGCATTTGGACATGGTCAGAGGTGTTATTTTTCTACTATATGCTACAGCTCAGTGAGGGAGGGTCTCTCAGTGAGAGGAGAAAGGAAAGGGTGTGTGCTCTTGATAAAGTTATCATTAATATGTTGTTTTTCTTAAATTTGACTACCATATACCGTATTAACTGTACAAAACAGTTTCATTGTGATATTTCCATATATGCATATGGGGAACTTTGATCATATTCTTCCCCTCTATCACTCTTTTTCTCCTTCCCCCTGTTTTTTTCAGTTTTTAATTGGTTTCATTGTTCTGTTTTCAAACATGTATTAATACCTTTTGTATGCTTGGTTTCTGGCTCTTGACACCCATATGCCATGTCCCCTAATCTACCCTAACTGAGTTGTAGCCACATAACTTGGGAGATGTTAGTAAGGCAGATTCTTGTGTCATATAGATAATATGGTGGCCAGGGAGGGAATTAAGGGAAATGTCTGGAGAAAGCACCCTTACCATGAACCTACTAGTAAATCTTCAGTCATCACCCACTATGTACCAGGCACTATACTAGGCACTGGAAATGATTTGATGAGAGGATCACATGACTCCTGCACTCTTGATCTTACCATCTACTGAGAGGGGAGACAAGCAATGAAGCAGCAGGGTTGAGTGTTGTTATGGGCATAAGGGATACAAGGTGCTGTAGGGATATGGGGCAGTGTTACCTGTGGGGAGTGGATGATGAGACATAAACACAGCTGTGCCCAATTATCAGCAGGCTGAGTTTGGCATGGCCCCAACCACAGAAGGGTGCAGGATGCAGCACAGCTGCTTTTCCTAAATTGTTTAAGTTCAGAGAAGTAGGAATGCAGGTTTCTCTTGTTACAATGTCATGCCCCTCCACCTCCTTATTTACCACTGGATATAAAAGACTGGCTGAAGGAGGACGTGAGGTTTTTTTGATGGGGGATTGATTTATTTGTGGGCTGCTTGTGAGAATGACCCTGCTGGTGGGCAGCTGAGTTATGCTAGAGATTAAAGAGAACATGGGACAGTGCAAGTCTGCACCAAGAACTTTATATACATAGGCTTTAGAAAAGCTTAGCTAAAGAAAAACTAAAGAGAACATGCGACAGTGTCTAAGGACCGAGACTTACTTTAAGAGTTATGCTAATGCAATTTTTAGACATGGCTGCTGTTGTTTGCAAGTCTAAGCACCAAGACTTTAAGAAAATAGAGAACATGGGACAGTGCACATCTGATGGGACAGTGCAAGTCTGAGGGTAAAGAGATTAAAGAAAACATGGGACAGAATGAATCTAAGGTAAGAGACTTTAAAGAACAGAAAAGAAGACTTTAGAAGCAAGGCTTTAAAGAATTGTAAAGGAGTAAGGCCTTAAAGAATAGAGAAAACAAGCAGAGTAAAGAGAATAGAAGTAAAAAAGCAACAAGGCTGTCGTGTGTCTCCATCTGAGTGCCCAGCACACCTGGCCCCAACTTTCTGCATGTCTGTCTTCTATTGTTTGTCCTTTCTGCATCTCCTGTCACCCCCAGTTAGCCCCAGTTAGGTTCAGTAGTAACAGGAATGAGAGAAAACTCGTTCCAATTACCTAAGCCTGGAGTAAGGGCACGGAGTCACTTTGCACAGTGAAGACCTAGACTCCATCCCCCCCACAGCCTCCTTCTCCATCACTCTCTGTGCTCCAGGAATCCATCTAGACTCCCAAATCACAAAGCTCACATCTGAACCAACAGAAAAGTCAAATCCAACATGGACAATTGGGGGGTCCACAGTTCCCCCCTTTCACTTCTTTCCTTGTCTTGATCTAGAAACCCAGACAGCCTTGACTGCTCTGTGATTCTGTCCTCTGCATGTTTCCCTGAAGAACAGACAGAACCCAAGCCATGACCTTGACCTAGGCACAGATAAAGTTGTTTAGGTTGAAACACTACAAGATCTAACATGGTGCTAAACATGTAGAAACCTTGTGTGCCAAATTTCACAAACAGTCATATAAACTCCATAAGCCAATCCTCTCTTGTGGACATACCTAGGTAGAACATCTCCTTTCTGCTGTCCATTTGCAGGATGCTGATACCACTATAAGGAGTCTCCTTATTGAATACTTTTGATGGATCACCTTGAAATTTAGTGTTTCTTTCTTTGGAATCCCAATAAGCCTCATTTTGTATATTTTGGGGTAGTCCCTTTTAGAAATTCCCTACCCACAACTTTTGGGGCAGCTCTAGTTTTGGGCTTGACAGGACAGAATAATTGAGAAATAACTCTTTTTCCTCTTCTATTCATGAGCTATTTACACTCCCCAAGGACTGATGTCCATTTCTATTGCCTCTACTCAGAAGTGAACAGACCCATGCTGCCCCAAATCCTGTTGTCTAGATGGAACAGGGAGGGCTGAAGGCTTAGCTGCTGTGGCCACAGCTCAGGCACTGCAAGACCTGGAGGAGACTTGCCAGCTCTACATAGACATTCCTGAGATGCTGTCATCCCACTTGGACAGAAGGCCTGTGAAAGCCAAGAAGTCCACCTGTGCCTGTGAGTTATCCCTGACCATGGACACATAATGACCAGCAGAGGTGTCATCCATAACTCCAGAGCTGGAAGGCAACTGAGGAGGCAACTTGTTTATAGGTGGAGAAACAGGCCCAAAGACAGGCCAGGCAGAACCAGAACTCAAAGGTGAGTGCTCAGACTGCAGGTACTGAGCTGTTAGGATCCCCCTGAGTTTCTCATCCACTTCTCCAAGAGTTCCATGATCAGGTGAGGATGGGTCTCCTTCAGGGCTTGGTAGAATTGGTCTTTGCAGGTCCGGTCCCAGGACCGGCTGAAGCTGAACAACTTTCGCATCTTGCCTGGCATGGTGGCCTCAGCCCGTACCTTCTCGTACTGCTCTTCACTCAGCACCTGTCCATGCAGCTTGTCCAAGACAGGGTCCACTGATGTCACTCGTACCACCAGCTGCTCCCGATGCCGGTCCACGAAGTGCAGCAGGGTGGAGGCATCTGGGAGTGAATGTGAGGCTGGCAATGAGCAAACAAAGGCTCCCACCTAGCCTCTACCTGGATTCCCATTTTAAGCTCTTTTCATTAACCTCAACCCCATCCCTCCTTCTCCCTCTGGAAGACTTTTGACCACGTGAAAAGCACCTCCGTCCTGTTTCATGCCAGCATCTAGTCTGGCATTCTGACTGAGCAGGGTAGGAGTTTGGGGTATGGAATGGAGGCTGTGAATTAGGGGACTTCCATTGGAAGGTGCAGGGGATGACACAGAGGGACATGGTCCCCAGGCATGCACACTTCCACCCCATTCCTGATAAGGACGATAACAAGTGTACTCTTCCCAGTACACTCCAGGGCTCTACTGGCTCCTATGCCTCTGACAGCTGTTACTGACCTTTGGGGACTGAAGGAACCCGACTAGTTGCAGGTCTGAGGTCTCCTGGAGGGGAGAAGAGAGATGAAGAAACATCTGTAACAGTGATAGTTATGAATATATGTGACACCTCTTGAAACTTTCCACTCCCTTCTGAGATTCTTGGTTTCTGAGAACAAGCTACAGACAAATCTGATAGGAGCTTGTGCAAGGTCTAGTAGGATTTTTAGACATGACTGAGGTGAATTCTTTTCTTATGCACATGGGGATACTGAGGCACTGAGTATCTATGATCATAGACTAATAAAAGGAGAGAATGTATCAAATGAGCAAATGAAAATTCTCCCTTAACATCTCAAACTTGGTTTTTTCTTGTCAGACTGAAGTGAATCCCTGGTAGAGAACCAACCATATCCCTTGGCTAACAGCTTAAACAATTTGACATCTTATTCTGAGCAGAAGCATACTTCCATCTTCCTTGTCATTGTTTGGTCTTTAACAGTCACACACTGAATATATGTGTTCTAGATTTGATGACAGAATGAAGATAAAGTATATCTTAGCACATGGAAATAATGAATCAGTTTTAATGCAAACAAAAATAAATGACGTGACTTAAACAATTGCATAGAAGAGGAAGAGGCACATCACAGTCCCACATGTGAACAAGACTTAGAAGTTTGAGCCAACTTTAAGTTCAACGTGACCTGAAAGTGCAGAGAAATGGTGCAGGACTCAGGTTTTGGTGCTGGGAACCCTGGGTTCATTAGGGTGAGGAGGGAGGTATTCCTCATATCCCTGCATACAGGATAGACTTGGTCCATTCTGACTCGTGCATAAAATGAAGTCTACTGAGGAAGGTGAATGAATGGCCAAGAATTTGAAAATATAAGAGGAACTGGAGATGTTTAAGTTTCATAAAGAAGACATAACACAAACCATGATCTCAGTCTTCCAGTACCCAAAGGCTTTTCCATGAGGAAAGAGATGGACTTTGATGAGTCTCAATGGACAGAATGAAGACTGATATTAGAGAGGTTGGTATAACATAAGGAAAAGGACAGTCTTGCTGCTGTTTATTAAGAATTGCTGCATGAGGCATGTAAAGATACAGTTTAATCTTTCCTAGATCCAGATAAGTCATTATACTCATTTTACAAATGAGAACCACAAACTTAAAGGAGTTTGATAATGTTCCAAGATCACCTGGTGAGTAAGTGCTGGGGTGAGGTCAAAACCAGCTCTGATACTGGGCTTGTTAATTCCCCACCTGTGGTTGCACCAAGCTAAGGCTGAGCCAAGCACACCCTGGTTCATCACATGGTGAAGCCTGTGTGTAGTAGCTTGGGAGGTGCCAACACCACTCTCTGACAGCTGACATGGTACTGAGAAGAGTATTTTGATATTGTGGGTGCTGGATTAACACAATGTAAGGTTTCTTTACTCCCGAAAGTTCATTATTTGATTTCCTCTGAAAATGCCTGAGCGATTGAGTATGTGATGTTGGCAAGACTGGCTGAAAAAATGAAAAATGCCTGAGCGATTGAGTATGTGATGTTGGCAAAACTGGCTCGACCGATCACCCATAAAATCCTCTAGTACTTACTCCTTCATTTCACAGTCAAGCCATCATGAGAAACTGTGCCAAAGGCCTTTATGATACTAAATCTGTAAATTCAAAGGTAGTGTCAAGATTGAAAAGAGAAAATGGATGAGTCAGATTGACTTGAGTTTTAATTTTGTCAAGCCAGCTGCTACACAAATTGAAAAAGTCATATAACTTCCCTGAGTGATTTCTTTTCCTCAGTAAATTATGATAATTCACACTACATCCCTGCCCCTCCCACTCACTGTCTTTCTTTCTCCCACCTCTGAGCTCTCTGGACTAGTCTTGGTTTACCTGGTTTCAGAAAGGCCTCCCATACTACAGTCTCATCTTTCTTGTTTTTCATTTGCAGCCTAATCCCTGATCCCAAGTGGCCAACAGAGATCTCAGAGAAGAGCTGGGATTCTCCAGGGCTCCGATAGGAGAGCTCCAGTTCCTGAGGAGAGAAAAACTTGCCCTGTGAGAAACCATTGTTCATCCTGCAAATGAGGTCTTCCCTCCTCCCTCTACTTTCTTGGCTCAGTTTAACTCCTTAGGGACATTGGTTATTTCCTGTACTGAAATCAGTTGCCATTTTGAGACCACAAATCCTGACTCTGAGTGTGGAGAATACACGTTGGTATCCAATGGACAAGTCAGTTATTACCCTAAAGGTAGTGCTCGCACAGTCTAAACCAGATCTTTCTCCCTCCATGTTGAACTCCATTCTGATCTCATGGGTCCCTTTTCCAATAAACAGAAAATTTATGCTCATCACCTTTCTAAATCAAATCTCAGGCAGAAATCTTGATATTCGAGTATCTTCCAAACATGTTCCTGCCACAGGTTCCTCAAACTCAGTAAACAGCACCACCATTCTCTGAGCACTCTGGTTCCAAATCTAGGTATCATCTTTAACTCCTTCCTTTCTCTCCTGATAATGGCCAATCCACCAAGTCCTATTACTTCTACCTCCAAAGTAGGCTTGGAGACCTGTTACAATGTCCTTTTGGTTTTGGAACGTGAACAGCTTTCAGTTGTCCTGAATCCATCAGCTGTCCTCCATCTTCATTGCTACTTCCCTACTCACCATGAACTCTCTCCTACACTATGATTTGCAACGGCCTATTTATTTGTATCCCTGCTTCCCTGCAGTTGACCTGCATAAATAATTTCCTTCCCAAAGGAAGGGATCCACCTCTTAGGCCCACTGCACTATCTCCTCTGAAGCACAGACTTAGCACTGAGTAAACATTTGTTGAATGACAGATCAGGTCTTTCTTACATTCAGGGCTAACAGACACCAAAGGATAACTCCAAAATGTTCACTCAGGGATTCATGTTTCTCAACTCAAAAGACAAACACTACTTCCTCCTAGCAACTAGACATCTGATCCATCTGGAGACTTAAATAGGATTATCAGGAGTCCTTCGAGGCCACAGTCTACAGAATTGGACAGCTGCTCCCTGAAATGTTAGAGCAAGATTCATTACCTGATTCTTCAACACCCCCACCCCTTTATTTTACTACTGATCTTTGTCTAGCATTTCACTTTGTCATCACCTAGTATGCTCTTCCTTATCTTCATCCTGCTATGTCTGTTCTCCTAATTTTTCTTTCTATGATTTAAAGAAAAACAAAGCTCTCTTGTACATTTTTCCAGACCACAGCAGTTGCTCTGAAGTTAACTGACTGTTGGGTTTATCATGCTCTCCCTCACCTTGTAGGTAAAAATGTGATAGCTGGTCACAAAGGAATTTTCACTATATAAATACTTCATGTTGTAAGTGGGACAGTTTGTGATTTAGGAGGGAAAAAAGACCACTGGGCTTTCTTCAACAGATCCAGCTGGATTTGGGACTTTTATTCACTGGATTTCATAATCTGGGCCCTGGTTTCAGACCTGTTACAAAGACTTATAGGCTTTTGACTTTGGTCATTGTCTGTGTTGTCCCTGTCCTGAGTCATGGATGCTGCTGCACAGCCATTGTCAGATGCCTCAGACTCATCTCACACTCATTGGATCCTGTCCATCTTCAGACCACCAGTCAGTGTTGCTTCTCTAAGTCTAACCAGCAAGATGCACAGCCATGAAAATTTGGAAATTATGAATTAAAGTCCAGTGGCCCAACCTCATCTGCTTTTGCACAAGGGTGTAGAGGAGAGATACTGAGAAAGAACAAGAAAAGAAGTCCCTTCGGTCCAGGAACTGACCTGAGGCTCCCAGCTCAACCTCAGTGTCACTATAAACTGAACTAAGGCTGCAGCTTTGCCACACTGTCCCATGTTGGACATACACAGGACATCTACTTCAGATGGGTTACCAGGCAGATTACAAATGCCGAACATATCCCCACTATACGCTAAATGAGTGACTGCTGTGTCTTTAGCAATTCCATCTTTATGCTTGCTTTAGTCCTCCCTAGAGATAAGGTTTGTAGAAAGTCCCATTCACAGAACTCTTCTTGCTCTATAACAGAACTCAATGAGGAGCAAATCTGTTTCCTTAGGCCTTCCCCTAAATTATCCACTCAAGTCTTATAGTATGTTCTGTGTAACGTTTATTTTTACTGAGAATCCCCAGTGTTCCCTATGGTTCCTTATTGCAACCAGCAATAAACCCAGTGTGTTGGATTACACATGTGTTCCTAGTGTGTTTTGACTAGAAGGTATTGATCTCCTACAACCCAAACACTTCCCACTGCCCTCAAGTAATACCCATCATCCTCTACATCTGAATGTCTTCTTGCCTCTCTCCAATTTTCATTTCTCCCATAGTTGAGCCATTCCTGCACACCTCCAACCTTAATTTGCCAGGTCCCTAGGAATCTCTGAGATCTGATCCACAGGTTTTCCCACGCTCCATAGGACCCTGTGATCCTGGTGAGGGGTGAACATCTGGCTGCTCACCTGGGGGATGATTTCTAGCTTCCCTGAACCAGACACAGTATAGCGGGAGCCCAGGTAAAGGGGATCCAGAGGGGGTGGCTTGTGTATTCGCACAAACTGGAATTTCTCTTCTTCATCATCGATGGCCTAAGAAACATAAACAACAGAGTTTTGGGGAGATTTCTGCACACACAGAATCTGATTTGAAGGAGGTATGACGGAGTATTAGTACATCAGTATATTTGTGTGGGTCAGGGTGACAACACCCCTCCTCCCAAGTTCTGCCACACAGAGAGACACACACTTGGTCTCTGCCATGTTCAGGGTGGGAACAGGGTCTCTGCCAGAGAGGAAGAGGGAGTAAGGAAAGGCAATGTTATGGGGTATGGGGTCTTCCAATCTTTTTGACTTTTAGAAGGAAGTTAAAAAAGATTGTCCAGAGATCAATGATAGAAAAGCAAACCCAGTTTGGGAAGACTTGTGGTATGAGAGTATCAGACCATGGCTGAGCAAAGGGCAAGATTATCTACCCCTGTCAGGATTCCTGCTTACAAGGGACCCATCCATACTGTCATCTATCATCCCTCTAGAGGGCTGTCTGTTGCATTTCAGGTTTACTGTGATCCACCCTGTCCCCACCTTTCTGGCTCTCAGTGTTACCTTTCGAATGGTACAGTCATTGGGGATCAGGTAGAGGTGGAAGGTGATTTCCTCAGGCTCAAGGTGACAGTAGAGCAATGTGGTAGAGGTGATGGGGATGAAGAGCCAGGCAGCAGGTATCACCTTCAGTAGAACTCCCATTGGGGAGAAGCTGGGGTTTTCCAGGACTATGCAATGTGGCTCCACCTGGACTGACTTCTCCAGGAGCACCCCATCCTCTTTAAAGTGGGCCACTTGGAACAGGGAGATGTCCACAAGCCCCTCTGTCAAAAAATGGAGTTGAGAGGTGGGATTTTGTGCCTCCACTGAGTCAGACTTGACTGGGTCAGAAGAATCCCAGATATTAGGTCTTCTTGGGGTTGCTCAATGCTATGGTCTGAACGGTTGTGTCCTCCCAAAATTTGCATGTTGATTCTGATCCTCCAGGAGATGGTGTTATGAGGTGGGAGTTTTTTGGGAGGTGATGAGGTCATGAAGGTAGAAACCAAATGAATGGGATTACCAGTCTTATGACAGAGAAAGAAAATAAAAGGGAAGGGGAAGTAGAACAACAGAAAGAAAGAAAGAAAGAAAGAAAGAAAGAAAGAAAGAAAGAAAGAAAGAAAGAAAGAAAGAAAGAAAGAAACCCAATGGACCCCTTCTGTCCTGTGAGGATGTAGCTGGAAGGTATCATCTATGAAGAGGAGGTGAGATGAAGGGGCCAAAAGACAGGGCCAGCTTCATGGACCTGAGACCTATGCAGGTACACAGACCATACACTGAGATGGGTCTGCTGCTTGGTTTAATGCTTTGGTGTTCCTTTCTTGATGTTCTTAACCATTTTTAAACCAGGGGCCTTCTGGTTTCATTTTGCATTCCATACTGATAGAATTAGACTGCAGGGTATGATCATGCCCAGAGTGTGAGGCCCTGGGGTGAATCTGAGATGTTAAAAGTGTTCATCTATAGCTATAGATGGAGAAAACTCACTGTGGAAAGAGAAATAACTTGATAGGACCTTGCCTTGATGGTGAAGAAGCAGACAATGCCAAAATCCCTCAATAAGACTGCCTTAGATTGTAAGGTGATCACTTCCAGGACAACAAACAACTGTAGCCCAGATAGCAGAGAGCAGAAATTCCTGGACAGGACCCCACCCAGTCCCAGGGCTTGGTTTCCTAGCTGGGTATGGCAGGTGTGCCTTGCGTGTTTTGACTTTTTCTCTGTGCATTATATCCAAAAGGAGTAAGTCTTATGCAGTTACAGAGTGAAGTCCAGAATGTGTTCTAGGAAGACTGGTGGGGCATGGACTGGAGCAGGATTGGGATGGGGTAGGGGTACAATACCTGCTCTGGGATTAACATGACCTGGAATAGGATCTCAACCCTGGACAAAGGTCTTCACCTATCTGAGCTTCACATTTTTCATTGGTACACCAGGGGAAAATCTTAGTTACTTGTTACTGGCTAGGCCATTATAACAATTGGGGTGATAGAAAATCACATGGAACTGCCTTGCATGGCACCTGGCACACAGAGCTCAGTAATTGTTCACAGTTGTTTGTTATTAGCCACATCTCAGGATCCCTTAGAAGGTGGTATCACCAGCTCAGTGAATTCTCTTGCATCCAGTTATTGACCTTCATTTGGGCAGTCTTCACCTAGAATCCTTTGTACTCAGAGGGTCCCAAATTCCTTGGTCAAATCCTGTTTAACCTAGTGAGTAAATGAGATAGCCAAAGCATAGCTAGGGTCACAATGGGGGCAGGGCTGGCTCACCAACCTCTGCAGGTGTGGGATGTCAAAGGGGGCTACCAGCAAGATCTAAAGGCAGACTTTGTCCCTCCCAGGGCTTTTTGATGCATTCTGGCTCCAGGCCTTCATTGCATGATCCAACTGTCAGCCTAGACTATCCTGTAAAGAGTGAGGACAAATCATGTTCTTTTATTGCTGGGCACCGTCAGAGCTTGGCAGGGCAGAACCCACTCAATCCCCTGGACAAACAGTCCCTCTCCCTGCCAAATCACCTGGAAACCCCCGGTTCCAGGTCCCACTAGTGGAAGAGGCCTCACGGTTGTAGTCGTGGCTTACATGAGTCTCTGGCCTGTTTCTCCTGCCCCATGCCCTCCTCCTGGTGAGCAGCACCGATACTGAACTTTTGTGACTTCAGTAATAGAGATTTTCCTTCTCCTGGATGGGTATGCACCACCACACTCGGCTTGTTGGTCTCACTAACTTTTTGTCTGGGCTGGCCTTGAAGTGAAACTTGATCTTTCTGATCTCTGCCTCCTGAGTAGCTGGGGTTACAGTTGTGAGCCATTGCACCTGGCCCTGATTTGGTAATATTTTATTGTGTACATTTAAAGTCTAATGTAACCTCAAGTTGTAAAGGTATTAACATACATACTAAAATATGTATAGAAGTATTGTGATTCTACTATAGATTAATCTATCAATCAATATATAAATAAAAATTAAAAATATATTCCTTTTTAGTATCTAAGTAAAATATACACATCATAAAAGTACTTATAAGTCATATAAGCTGTAACATGTTTATCAAATCATTTTATCATCATTTTTCAATTAAATGAAACTCCTGGCTTACTCATAATTTTACATCTGATTATTTTAAGTGTCTCATTAAATTGATATCAAATCCCTCACACCCAGTTGTGTCTAGATTTCACCTGATGCCAGCTCTACCCAGTGGCCTGGTGTGGAGAACCTGTGTCCATCCTCAGCCAACTAAATGGATTGGATGCCCTGTCCTGCTGCCTGCTGGCTCAGATACTCCTGCATGTTCTTGTGGTCCAGAGCAATGCTGCCTCTGCCACCCCATCCATTCTGCACCACATGCAGCCATATCCCCTGCCTTCATGGCCAGCACTGACCAGGATAGTAACGTTTTAGCATTTTAACCTGGACAGCAGAACTCTGCCTCTTTCTCAACAGCAGGCCTGCTTTAACTTCTCTTTGGAGTATGCTAAGCCCTTGGAATCCTTTAACAACCTTCCTTGTTATTATTGTTGCTATTTACTTTTCCCTCTTTTACAATCATTTTATTATGTATATATATAAATAATATATATATATCTTATCATATATATATGATATATATCTTATCATATATATATATATATGATAAGAATAGGGAAGAACAAAAAAGTTTCTCCACCGTAGTTTAAACACATATAAAAACAATTCTGATTATTTAAGTAACATTTCTGTCATTTTAATCACTAACATCATTTCCTATTAATTCTCCTTAAGGAAGAGATGTGCTTCAACAATAACAACTGTAAATAGTTCATGAACTTTTGGCCCTAACATCTCCACATGGATGGAAAATTTGCTGCACTTTAGTATATTTTCAAGAAATGCAAACAACCCAGAAATGCATTTAAATACCATTAATTTAAATACCCAAGAATCATGTTATAAAGACAGGAAGTAATAGGTAAGTGATTTTTATAACTACATAAGGCTCATTTGTTCTCCATTTTAATCAGTAACTATATATTTGTTTTTATATATTTCTGTCTTCCTGGATACTTAGTGTCTTGAGAAGATACTTCTTCCTGAATCTCTCTCTTTAAAATCTCTATATGTCAGATTCTAATTTTTGAATGTTTCATTAGATTTACATGTATGTGATTCAGTGTCTGCTTATCATTCCAAAATCTTGCACCTCAGGGATCATTTTCCATTTGCCTGAGGTACATCCTTTATAGTTTCCTTCAGTAACCATTTGTTTGTAGCAAGCTGTCTTATTTTAGTTTTTCTACAATGTCTATTTTACCCACCTCTTAAAAGCACTTGTCTTGGTTTACAATTCTTGATGGACAGTTACTTTCTCATGACTGTTAACTTCTGAGTTCTACTGTTACAATATAAAAGTTACTTCATAATATATAACACAAATTGTCTACCAGAACATTCTATCAATTACACAAAAATTTTGAGCCATAATTTCACATGGAAACCACATCCATTGAGTTCTGCTAACTGTTTCATTGAGTTGATAGACAGTAGGTGCCTTGTACACAGCAGCTGCTGGGTTTCATCTGATGCCAGCTCTACCCTCATGGTCTGGGACTGAAAGCCTATGTTGCAGTCCCCTATCAACAGTCCGGTTTGAATCGTCCTGCCTATCCTGATCTGGTGCAGAGTGAGGTAGTCTTGGCCTCCCATCCATGCTGCTCCATGCCATCATCACCTGGGAGATGAGGTTTGATTATCTTATTCTATCTGTTTGGGTTCTTCCCTGTAGCCAGCCTGCTCCCTGAAGCAACAGAGGAGAGCAGGCTCAACTAGCCCCATGTGTGATAGATTTTTTTTTTTGTATTGGGGATTGAACCCATGGCCTCATATTTGCTAGGCAAGTGCTACACCACTTAAGCTATGCTCTCTCCCCATTATTTGTTTCGATGAGACAGTCTTCCTATATATACCAGGCTGACCTGGAACTGACTGTGTTGCCCAGGCTAGCCTAAAACTCCAGACCCTTCTGTCTCAGCCTCCTAAGTACTGGGATAATAGGCATGTACAGGGAAACTTTTAGGTAAGCTCAGGCAAAAGTAATTATGAAGTTGGGAGATATGTGGTTCAAAGAAGAGAAGAAACATCCAAACAAGAGTGCAATGAAGAAAAATCTCAGTTTCCACCTCCATGACCTTCTTTGCCTTGTTCAGGGAGCCATGAGCTCTTTCTCCATCATCCATCATCCTTTTCCCCCTGTCAGGCCCCTTGTGACCACCACCCCTCTCCATCCTTCCCTCCTTTACCTTGGAGGGCCACAAAGTGAGGAAGGTGCACAGCAGCCACAGCTCCCTGCTCAGCCTTGATGTCGAACAGAGGCCCTGCCACCATCCAGCTGTGCTGTATGACATTTCTGCTCAAGAAAGGGTCCCAGGCACAGAATTCTATCTCAATGGTCACTGCCCTTCTCACCACAAAGCTGAGACCCATGTTGGGACAGTGGTAGGAGCCGGCCTCAGGGAAGTGAACTCTGGGAAGAAGAAGGAAAGGCAGACACCAAATCACACAAACTCACTGAGCACGTGCTTAATTTCAGACCAGTACAGGAGCTAGGGATACAGTGGATACTGTGGATACAGTGGATACAGTGGAGTGGCCACATCTAATTTCTGTCAGAGGTCTTCGGTTGGGTCCTGGTTCCTCTGCTCTCTCCTCTGGTTCCCAGAGCAAGTCATTTAAATTCCCTAATCTTAGTTTCCTCATCTGTAAATAGGAGAAATAAAACAAACTGGCAGCTGTACATATACATGGGAGCAGTTGGCTGTTCCTACTATGATGGTGATGAAGATGATGACAGTGACAATGATGTTGAAATGGGTAAGTGTTCTTATTTTTAAAGAGTGTATTTACCAATAATTCCTAAGAATTTTCATGCTACTGTTAATGGTAAGTCACTGGAGCTGAGCACAATGCTTTACAGGGATCATGAAGGATTTTCTCAAGGCTCCACTTTGCTGGATAGCAGTGTGGCCAGTGGCTAGTGTCTGTAGTAGAATTTAGGAGGTCCTTGATTTCTCAGCTGAAGTGTGTCTGGGGCTGAGTCTGATGAGTGGTAATGTGTTACGCTAGAGCTCATGATTGTAATTACAGTCATTTGTTACTTATGGGACTAGAAGCCCTTGGAGGGCAAGGCTGCCATATTCATCTTGGGGTCCCAGCTACTAGTAGGGTGCTTTGCACATGGAGGTTATTAACAAAGAGGACTATATACACTACAACAGATTAAATGAGATTTCAGGAATACAACAAACCAAGCGTAATGAACAGACCTTGTTTGTATCCTGGTTAGAACAAATCACCAGCAAGAGCACATTTCAGACAGCTGAACAAATTTGAATGCAGAATGGGTTTAGAGGATGTGAGGGACCTAATGTCAGCTTTGTTAGATGGAAAATGTCATGCAGGTTGTGGAATAAAGGGTCTTTATTTTCATTTTTCAGGAGAATGAAATGTTTAATAATAAAAATCACCTAATACCTTGAATTTAAAACTGTAGCAGTAACAAAAGAGGAAGAAGGAAGGTAGTAGTAATGAATTAGGCAAAATAGTTGTTCAAATTGGGTTATGGACACCTTGTACCTTATTTTTTTTGTACTATTGAAAGATTTCATAATGAATCATCTTTTTCCATAATAAAAGCACACACTCAAGCTTCTCAGTCCTGTTCCTTGTCTGGGACACCGTAGAGAGTTCATGGGGTACTATAAGACAGTGTGGGGAATGGAGCTTACCTCCCTTAGGAGGCCAGCCTGGGCAGACAGAATCCCTCACTCACCGGCAAAGGCTCCTCTCTTTGTCAGCAGTCTCAGTAGCCACAGGGCCCTTGGGGCCCCAGAAGTCATCTTCGGTCCCCAGAGGCTCCATGTACAGGTTGCCCAGACAGGAAGGAGAAGACACATGGAGAGGTTCCACCTGTGATGCTTGTGGGGCATTTCCTTCTGGAGAAAGAAGGTAGTGAGCAGCTCTATGTTGTCCTGCCTGGTCTCCCAGCCCCCACTGCTGGCCTACACCTGTGCCCTTCCAGAGGCTACTCTGCATGGGTGTGTCAGGGGTGTGCCTGCAGCCTCTGTCCCTGCCCCTGGGCTACATACCTGCTTTCTGAGACCAACCCCTATTGCCCCCGACCCAGTCTCTCTTCACCTTCTCTACCTATTGGTCCAGAAGTGTCATCCTGCCTAGCATGTCCCCAGTGGACAGGTTGAAAGAAGAACCTGGCTCAAAAGATGAGATGGATGTGCAGGGTTGCAGAGTGGCTCAAGTGGTAGAGTGTCTGTGTAGCACGTGTGAGGTCCTGAGTTCAAACCCCAGTAATGCAAAAAAAAAAAAAAAGATGGATGTGCAGGAGATTCCCAGATCTCAGAAGCCCAGGATGGGAGACCAGGTCCTGGTGTAGGGTCTGATGCAGGTTATAGATGTTGGAGAGGGGAAGCACCAGCCCCCAAAGCTGGGAGGGAGGGAAGCAGAAACCCCTCCAGATTCTAGGAAAAGAGGATCTCCTTTGGGGTGGGGCCTTCAGATGGAGACCCATCCGTCCCACAAAAGAGGCAGGGGGATGGAGGGGATGACCTGCCCCATCCCTCTCCATTTCTCTTTCAAATACCTGAATGTTGTCTCTGCCATTTGAGTGAGGTCCTGATCTTATCCATCTCTCCTCCTTCTGGGCCTTCAGTCTGGATCATCACACCTGGCTTCCTACACACAGTCATGTTCATTTTTCTCTCTGATGTCAGGGAAGCTAGCGATGTCTTTGTGACATACCCACTTAAAATTCAGCTCCTTTGATGCATTACCCGACTCTGTGACTCTCCTCCCATCCACCCATGCATCCACACCAGAAAGAGGCACCATCCTGACTCCTTCCTGGCTGTATGGTTTGAATGTGTCCTTGAAGTTCACACATTGCAAAGTTAATGCCCAGTGCAACAGTGGGGAGATGAGATCTTTAAGAAGCGAAGAGTGGATTCACTGTTGCTAGAGCAGATTTGCTATAAAAGTGAGTCATCATGAGATTGCAGCGCTAAACAGAGCCAGGAAAAAAACAAAGAAATTATAGCTTTCAGAGTGAGATAGGCCTCACACACTGGATCTTCTACTCCTGAGTTCTCTCCTCCCACACTTGCACTTCCCAGTCACTAGAGCTATAAGAAATAATCCTTGTTTTCTATGAGTACCCAGTCTCACATTTCTGTTACAATAGCACAAAATGAACTGAGACATTTGCTTACCCTGACAGCTGATCTGGACAATACCTCTCTGGTAGCTCTCCTTCCTATCCTCTTCTATCTACATCCATGGCCTGAATCCTAGTTCCAGGCCAGGCATCTGTGGCCTGAACCACTGCAGCATCCTCCAAAAGGTTTCCTGCTTCTGCTCTGGTCTCCCTCAGGCCATGTTCTGCACAGTGGATGATCTTATATGAACCCAAGACATCTAATCACTGCTGAAGCCCTATGATGTTTCTCCATTGCTTCTGGATAAAACAGAAAATATTAATATGGTCCAAAGAGTCTTGATGTGGCCTCTGTTCCCCTCCAGCCCCCCCCCCCCATGCCACTTTGTCTCTGCTCACTGACCTCTAGGCCAGGGGAAATAAAAAACAATTGGCTTAAGTTTCACCTGCATGCTTGTTTCAACAAAGACTGCATCAAAAGAAACTGGCTCACTTCAGAAATTCTGATTCACTAGGCCTGGAGTGGGGCCTGAGATTCTGCATTTTTATAGCAGTTCCAGGTGAGAGGGATGCTGATGCTACTCACTCATGGACCACATTTTGATTAGGGCTGCCCATGCAGTGGGCTTTCTAGTCCTTAAAGGAGCTGAGTTCTCTCCATTCTTACATCCTCTAACTCTGCCTGGAGTTCACTCTGGTCCAGCTTACTCTTCCCAATTTCAGAGCTCAACTCAATTCCTTTGGATGAGGTGAGAGAGGCCATCCATGCACTCACACCAACCCCATTTGCAACTATGCAGACTTGGGGGAGAACCGGTGCCTGTCTCCCTGCTAGAGTGAACTCCTAGAGGTTAGGCTATGCCTGCCTTGTTCACTGCTGTGTCCTCAGATTCCCCACCTAGTGACTTATGCACAGTGGGTCTGCAGAGAACGTTGGTCAATAAGTGGATCACTTATTCTAAGCTTAGGAACCTGACCCTTCCATTTCAGGTGAGGCACAGCAGCTGGGTGGCCATGCATTTCCTGAGGGTTGAATATGACTTTCGTGCCTTCAGGATCCCTATGAAGCCTAGTGTGTGTGTGTGTGTGTGTGTGTGTGTGTGTGTGTGTGTGTGATATGTGTGTGTATGTATGTGGTGACAGTGATCATGGTAATTGTCTTTATTCTAAAGGCCTTTCCATGTCTTTGTCTTCCTCCTATAGTTCCCAACTTTCTGTACTATGGCCAAACTGTACTAGAGGTCAGTGGTTATGACACTCTGCTGGGCCCAGAGGACTTGCTCACTCACTCACTCACTCTTTTCATCTCCTTGTTTGTTTAATAGAAGGGTTTAAGCAGGCAAGTCATATGATTCTATTTTTACCATATACCCAAAGCATCCTATTCATCCATCACTCTGCTTGTAGTTTCTTGTTTTTTTTCCTGGCTGTGTTTATCTCTCTCTTACCACACCAGGTCTCTTTCAGCATCTCTAAGTTCTGGAGCAGTCATAAGGGCTCAGCACTGGCCCTGGATCAGTCAGAGGGTTCTTGGTCCATCCCTTACCGTCTGCTGGAGATAAGCAGCTGAGGTCTCTCTTCCTCCAAGGCCTTCAGCTCCTCTCTCACCTGCTTACTCAGAGGAGCCTGGTCCAGCCTGTAAGCACAAAGTAAACCTGGTTCTCATGGGATTCAACACAGGATACCAAGACCTTCAGGATCCAGGATTTGGGACTTTGCACCTGCTAAAGGAGTCTGTCACAGTCAGGTTCCAGCAAATCAAGCTATGAGGTGTATGAGGTGGAGCTAGAATGAGGTGACTGACTAGGGAGTACTCTTGGGCCAACACCAGGATTAGGGGATGGAAGGCAGCAGGACTGGGCAGCGGGAGACATTGGCTGAGAGGCTGTCTCTGTAGAGGTCTCGGCCAGGTGACAAGGAGTTTTGTTTTGTTTTTGTTTTTGTGGTACCAGGGCTTGAACTCAAGGCCTACACCTTGAGCCATTCCACCAGCCCTTTTTGTGTTAGGTATTTTAAAGATAGGGTCTTGCAAACTACTTGCCTAGGCTGGCTTCAGACTGTGATCCTCCTGATCTCTGCCTCCTGAGTAGCTAGGATTACAGGTGTGAACCACAGGTGCCTGGTGCCAAGGAGTTTTGAAACGAAGCTGACCGTTAGAAACTGTCCAGAGTTAGGATGAGGAGTGGGAAGGAGGCAGAAACCTTCCCAGAATTTCAGGGAGTCAGTTCCCCTGTGAGGGGGGAAAAGCTTAACAAGTAACTGTTAAGCTGGTGCCTGAATCCAGGTTTCTGGTAAAGGTTAGTTCTGAAGAAGTTGATGTCCGAATGCAGTTGGTGGGAGCAAGCTAGGGAGTGAAGTTCCCCCTGGTTGTCAAGGCTAGTCAGCATCTGGAGAACCCTTCTTTATCTTCTGCTTTATCTTCTTTTTTAGGTTTGAAGTCAAAGTTGGCCTGGTTGAGGCCAGTGTACATGCTTCAGGCTTCCTGGACCATGTCCACCAACCAGGAAGAACCAGAGGACTCTGGACATGGGATCTGGAGCCTCTATAGTTCTCTGAGCACCTGAAAGTGCTTTTCTAGGGGCTGAAGGAAGTGTTCAGCTAGCATGTGTCTGTGGGTTTGTGTTAGTGAGGTAAAGGGAGGAGGAAGTGGCTGCAGGACAACTTGGTGGTGGCTGGTTGGAGAAGGACACAAATCTGCAAGGCTTCAGGGTGGTGGCAATCCTGGCTTGCATGAACCTCAGACTGGGAGCTCACTGCATGTCAGCCACTTAGGGCCCATTTAGCCTCCAGTGCTTGAGCTCTTCTGATCTTTCCCCACACTGTGTCTTTATCTTTGTCTGTCCCTGACTTAGCCAGACTAAGTCCTATTTCTCTTTCAGGTCTTATAGTAGTCCTCCCTGATCCATTAATCCAACTTGACCCTCTCCCAATGTTAAATTCCCATAATACTCTACCTGTGTGCTTCATAGCACTCAACACAGCTAATGAATCCACACTGTGTGCTCACAGGGGATTAAAGTCTGTCCCTTACTCCTTGTATAAACTTCAAGAGGCAGGATTGGAACCTGGGAACCATGCCATGAAAGAATGAATGAAAAGTGAATGAGTGCAGAACTGTTCTGGAGTAAAGTGAACCTGGGACTCCTTTAGAACATACAGGCACACTGATAATTGTCACTCTAGTATGCCCAACTCTGCTCAGCACCGTCCTTGTTTTTAACATTTGTACACTTTATTTCATTGCAATCTATGATCTGGATATGATATTCTCATTGCATAGATGAGGAATATGAGTCTCAGAGAAGACATTATCTTCTCTGAGTCACATCGTGTCAGAGTAAGTGGCACAGCTGGTAAAGAATCAGGCTGACTATGCATTTACTGTCCATTTTCCTCCCCCTGTTCCATCTCCCATCACCCCTCTTCAACTCCTCCCCTGTCCCCTGCCCAGAAGGGACCCACAGGGCCTTACCACAGGAACTTGAGGTGGCAGGTGGGATGCCTGAGTCCTCCATAGAGCAGCCTCACGCCATGGTCGCCCAGGTCGTTCTGCTGTAAGTCAAGCTCAGTCAGTCTGGGGCTGACACTGAGCACAGAGGCCAGGTCCTGGCAGCAGCTTGGTGTGAGGCCACAGCCCACTAGCCTGCAGGAGAGTTGCACATGATCATTGTCTCAAGGGCTTGTTCCATTGGGTAACTGGGGTCTGACCTTTTCAATGGCTGTGGTGCTTAGGGGTCCTGGGTTGATGTTTAAGGAAGGAAAATAAGGACTTTCCTGGGAGGTTTTAATTTCTTCTGGCACTCAAGGATCTCCTCAGGATGAGAGCAGCCTCCTTTTCTCACTCCTGGGGAACTCACAGGAATTCTGTCCATCCACTGTATCAACTTGGTATGAGTAATTTACTCAATCTCCCATCTGTAAACTCCCATCTGTTAACAACATTAGCCCTGCAAAGTACTCAGTAGTGAACACTGGATGCCCAGATAGGTGTCAATAGTAAGTGCATTTCCAGTCCATTAGAAAAATTGGTGAACCTCTAATATAAAGACCAAAGTTGAGAGGAAGTGTGAAAAGATAAATTGGAACTAAGAATCTATCCTGGGCTCCCCAGTACAATTGGGGTCTGGCATATGCTCTGTCCCTTTCCAGAGCTGTGTCTAACCCACTGCATGCCGTGCTGACAGTGCTAAACTCTTAGCTTGCCTTGTCTTATCTAGGTGGATAACTCCATGGCTCCCACAGCTGAGCTGTAAGCCCAGTAGAGTTGAGGTAGGGCTCTTCTAGCCTTCTGCTACTAGACCCAAGGAAGGGTGTGAAATCCATGATGTCCAGAGAAGTCTGAGTTCTCTGTCTTTATGGGTCAGGAGTCACAGGGACTGGAACAGCTCATGTGAGAGCTAATGCGAGAATGCAGGGGATGGGTGTTTTACTCTGGCTTTCCAGATAAAGTGCCTCACATCCTTGCAGTGTATTCCCTGCCCTATCCTGTAGTGTGGTGGCTACAGACATGCACTGACCCTGGGGGTGCTTGGGAACAAGGCTTATTGTGTGGCCCATTTAATTTGGTAAACACTGTAATCTTGATAGGTAAAACCTCTTTAGAAGGCAAAATTAGCAATGCCCATAGCAATTCTCAGAAATTAGACTATGAATTATAGTTGTACATCAGCATTCATGGAAAAGAATTTTAATTTCAGTTCTTATTTACATTGGCAAATAAGAACTGATACAATCCAGCTGCTGTAATATGGGATTATCAAAACACTAATGGTGAATCCATGTAGTGAAACTCCATGCCATGGTTAAAAAGAACGAGGCAACTTTGTGTTTACTGATGTGGGACTATGTCCAAGATCTAGTTTTTTATTATCATATTATTGTTATACTGGGGATACATGGTGACATTTACAAAAGTTCTTATAATATATCTTAATTAAATTCACCTCATCCATCATTCTCCTTTATCTTCCCTCCCCCATTCTTAGAACAATTTCAACAGGTCTAATTTTTCCATTTTCATACATGAATACATAATATTTCCACCATTTTACCCTCCTACACCCTTTACTTACATCCTCTCCCCTCCTACTGGTAACAACCCCCTCCCCTCAGTAAGGCTGTGCATTCCTGTGAGACACAGGCTGTCTCTGGGCAATGCTGTCTGGTGATCCCCAGCTTTTGAGGTTTTGATCCAGCTTTGGCCACCTTGGTCTTCCACAGCTGGATGTGCTGAACTCCTAGAAGAGCTTTTGGGACCTCAACTGTCGACTAAGATGGCAGTATGAGAGTGCTGGGCAGGTAGAAAACCAGGCTTTGAGGTCAGACCTGGCTTCAAATCCTAGTGCTGCTGCTTCCTGTCTATTTGATCTTGGAAAATATATTAGTCCTTCTTTGACTCAATTTTGTCACCCATAAATGTAGTGAGAATTAAATATTACAGGTGGGATGGAGTTCCTAGCCATTCTGAGATTACTGACCTTTGATATTAGGAGATCCCAATTGGTTCCCTTCCTTCTCTCCCATCCACCCATCTCTTGCTTAGGAAGATTATGGGGAAAAGCAGGCAATTGCTCTGTGAAGAAGGTGTGGCCTTGGGAAGAAGGGAGGGAAATGCAAGGAAGACCAGAGACCTAAATAGCAACTCTCAGGGCTTAGGCAGACAGCAAAAGGAAACTCACCTCAATGGCTGTTCTATGAGCATACATGCAAGTGTGCACGTGTGTGTGTATGTGTGTGTGTGTAACTTCATATACTAGATGAGGAAAGTGCAAAGAGGCTAGTGAAAGGTGAACAATCACTTTTGTTCTATATGGTAGGAGATAGGACTTTGTTCCACAGACTGAATTAAGTGGATACTGATGAGTTCAGTTGTCTATGACTGGGCCTCATGCTATGCAACTGGAGGAACTATAATAGAAGACATGACTTGTGAGGACCAGAAAGTAACAGGTAAAAGGAAACAGTGCTCTGAGCACATCACCCATGAATCCTTACAATGATTATGCAAGATTCATATTGTTACATCCTCTCCTGTTGTAGACTGTGAAAATGGTCACAAATCCCTCCCTACCCCCTGCTTCACTCTGCACCATTACTGCTTAGTAATATACTCTCATGAAGAGCCAGAGATCTTTTCTTTATGCCTACAATCTGGTCTGGTCCTCATGGAATCCACTGTGGGCAATGGATCCTAGGAATAGTGACTCAGAAAGGGGCATGGGAAGTGCTTCCGCACTGGGATTTGGCTTCTTTGGTACATGAGATGTCCTGAGACCACCCCCTTAGTCCCTAGTTGGGTGAGATTCCTCCTGAGCCTCCATACTGCACTGAGTTTCTACAAGTTCTCCACCCCACAGAGTGGATCCCCCTTCTCTCTTCCTCTTTCTTAGCTGCCACATGATCATATACTATCTCTCCATTCCCCTGCCTACCCATCACTGCATTTTTAACCTAAGAGGAGCAGTTACTGCACTCACCATAACACGTAGTGTGGTTGTGTCAGCTCCTGGCAAAGGTGCCTGTTTTGAGCCTCTATTAGCATGTAGAAGTTCAGCCCTAGCTGGAGTCTCAGGTTGAGCTCCAGGCTAGGAGCTCAACCTGAATCTAAGGGCTTTGTAACCCTCAGTCATAGCTGGCCAACATGTGGGAGACGTACAGCAATCACCTTGACTTTATCACCTTTTGGTTCAACAAACACCCAAAGAAACCATGGAGCATATACTTGGTCCACACCAATTTGCCCCATAAGGCCTCTGGAAATGCACAGGCTACTGTGGGGACAGGAACAAATAACAGTAAGTCAGTTTTAGATCAAAACCCTTCAATGTTTTCCTGCATCATTCAACGTCCTTGTCTTGAACTCTAGGATCATGCTGACCTGAATTTTTATCATCTCTGTCCTCATTTCTTATCTCTTTTATCTCCATCCTCACCTGTCTTCTTTCTTTTGCTGAAATCCTTTGAATCTTTTCACCTGACACTTCTTTTGCCTTGAACATTCTCACCTGATAGTTCATGGTTTGTTCTCTCACTTAAAATTGCATACTCATGCTCAGAATCCCTACTACTTTTTCTGCTTTATGTTTTCTAGAGTCCATATCATCTACATGTATTTTACTTACTTATTTGGCTTTTTGTCCTTACACCCTTTCAGAATGTAAACTCTATGAGGGAGGAGTTTTGCCCACTTTTGTTAGTAGCCCTACCTATATGCCTAGAGAAGTGCACTTCATAAATATTTATTGGATGAATGAATGTAGGAGCATCAAGAAGTCAGGGGAAACTGAAGGACAGGTGTATCTGGCTCACTAAGGTGAGGGTGGAGGTCAGGGACACTACTGGCTGGCAGGGAAGATGGGAAATCACAGCACATTTTAAGTTGAATCATGTTGGCATACAGATAGAGTGTGAAGCATTGGAGAATGACAACTGAGACATACCCCTTGTATAGTCATGGGAACCTCTGGACTAGCACTAGAGTCCTATCTGTGCATTCAGGATAAGTCAAGTGAAAAACTATAGTTTATTAACCATTGACATGTCCTAAAATGTGCAAATCCATGCACCAAAACACAAGAAATACAAAAAAATCAAGGCAACATGACTGTTCCAAAAGTCAACAACTCCACTAGTGATAGTGAAGCAGATGAAACCCCAGACAAAGAATTCAAAATAATGATTATAAGAATGATCAACAAAATCAATAGGATTCAAATAGATACCTAAATGAATTCAAAGGGAATACAAACAAACAACTTAATGAAATAAGGAAGATGAGGCAGAATATGAAAGGGGAATTCAATAACAACATAGAAATTCTGAAAAAAAAAGTAGAAACACTGAAAATGAAAAGCTCAATAAGTCAAATTTTAAAATTCAGTTGATATTAATTATGGACTTTAAGAAAAAAATATTTTACTGCCTCCATTATCCTGTGGGTTTATTTGTTGTATTGTTTATCTGTGTTTCATTTCATTCCAAAAGTGGTTGGTGATAACATCTGCATGAAATTAATTTGTTGAAAAAGAATAAAGAAAAACTGAGCTAAAAAGTTAAAACAAAATTCAACTGAAATCTTTATTAAGAGACTGGATCAAGTTGAAGACACCATATTAGGGCTGAAGACAAGTTGGTGTATTAGAAGATTCAGATAAAGAAAAAATAAAACTCATGAGTGGAATATCTCAGATCTCTGGTACACTACTACAAAATCATACCTATGAGTTATGGGCCTAGGAGAAGAAGAAGAGGTGCAAGCTAAAGGCACATAAAACAATTCAATAAAATAATCACAGAAAACTCCCAAAATCTGTAGAAAAAGATGGTCATCCAGGTATTGGAGGCTTTTAGGACACCAAACAGACAAGACCAGAAAAGAGCCAGTCCAAGGCATAGGAGAGTTAAAAATAAGGTGCACAGAACTAGGAAACACTGAGAACTGCAAGAGAGAAACATCAAGTCATCTGTATAGACAATCACATCAGAATAACAACAGATTTCTCAACAGAAACTTTAAAAGCAAGGAGGGTATTAAACTATTTATTTTAATCCCTGAAAGAAAATAATTGCCAACATAGATTTCTGGACCAGCAAAGCTATTCTTCACAATTGATCAAGAAATATAAACCATTGATAATAAATAAA